CCTGTAATTAAGTCTTCATTAACATTACGTCTTTGTCTTAACAAGACTGTAAACTCAAAATACAAAAGGTACAAGATTTAACAAGACCTTTGAATCTGGCCGTAAAGTATCTCTATGGATTACTGAACTGACCAAGAATATAAATATCAAAAGAATCTTTCAGAGCAATGAGGAACAAAGTGAGTCAGTTCTAGAGTCCAATTCTCAAAACCATTCAAACTGTACACCGTAAGAGCCAATATACGATCAGTTGTCAGGGCTAGAGCAGGGAGCAGACTGACTACTTGCCAGTCTGTTGACGCGTCGTCAGGATGGATCACCTGACCCAAACGTCAGCCAGCCGGACATAAACAATTGAACAATTCACCGGATGGTTCCGAGACTTAAACTCTATATACACAAGAAATCCTACCTAACAATAATAATAAAATAATAGTGATAATAATAACAAAATAGTGATAATAACAAAAATAGTGATAATACCTTGGTATTTTTCATATATTAACAGATAATAATATAACGCCGAAAGTCTCTATTTTAGCTATAAACGGGGACTTTGCGCTATAATATTAAGTGATGAACATATTCTCTTACAATAGTTAAATAACACAGGATGACCAATTTCGAAGATATAACACACTGGTACTCACTCTTCCCTCCCCTGCCCCCAAGGACATCTCCAGTGGTGACGCTGATTGGAGAAGTGACCTTTGACCGCCTGATCATCTCTCTGGAGAACAAGACCTGTATGGTGACTCCTCAGGGCAGTCAGGTGTCTGAGGATGTTGCTTGCTTGAACGTCGTGATCAACCTGCAGTACACCTCCAAGGTTACTGATCAACTGGGTAAGTATTCTTGTATTACGACTTCCACTCTGTAGACCAGGAGCTGCTAACACTTGTATGGTGACTAATACTTGTGTGGTGACTAAGACTTATGTGGTGACTGTAACACTTGTATGGCGACTATAACACTTGTATGGTGACTAACACTTGTATGGTGACTGTAACACTTGTCTGTTCGGTTGGATGCATTTCAAGAAGCCTGTCGGACTGTAACACTGTATGGTGCTGTACCTTGTATGGGAACTAAACTGTATGGTGACTATACATTGTGGGTGTACTGTGTGGTAACTCCGTATGTCCCTTCCTCAGAAGTAACTTGATATGGAGCTGGATATTGATGACTCAAGACTCGCCTTCCTCGACACTCAACTCTCTAAGTAAGTTTACCATAACCTCCCCTTTTCTGCAACACTGCAAGCATCTGATGATGTATTGATTACAACACGAAAGGCCTAGAGCTATCATTTTGCATCTTATATCGCTTGTTCAAATTTCTGCATAATATCAGACTAGTTTTTTCTCGTTTAAATACATTCGTCTCTCGACCACTGGGAAGAGAGGACACTTCTTGAGTCTCCCTACACGCCACCTGGTGGTGACTGCTTGACTTAGGCACCAACATGGCGGATCGTATCAGCCGGAGAGTGAATACTGTCTGTACTTGAATTAGTTCGAGGAACGTTAAGCAGTGCGACAATGCATGTACTGTTATCGGCCATAATTAGGGACGTCTACGGGATACCGAACGATGAATTGTACGGTGTTGCCCTTAATGGAATGACAAGGGTTTTTGTGAAGTTTACAAGAGCCGGCTTTAAAACCAGGATTGTGGATGAATTTCAGGAAAGGAAGAGAGTGTAACTCAACAGTAGGGTGTCTACATGATGTTCAAAATATTACACGTGGGAAAAGGGTCGTAATTACCCTTTGGGGCAACGTGTATGGCATTCAGGAAGCCTTCAGCAATAGAAACTGTTCTACGGTAGTATGGGGGTTGGAGGGACGGGCCATTTGAAGGGCTCCCGAGGGGTCCTGCACCCGAGATTCATTGGAGGCCAATCCCTCGAATACACTGACAGGCATGGACCAGGAAATTGTCCACTATGCGGGCAGAGGAAAACTTGCTGATAAGTGATTTTACGAGCATATGGCAGCGCAGTGTCATCGAAGGTAAGCCCTAGGATGGCATTACATGGAGGGTGGAACAGCAACCGTGCAACGGGATGTGAGTTGGGGGTTGTGGATGGACAAAGACGAATCTCTGGAGTGGAGGTGGACAAGGGGGAAGAGGTAGGGGGACGTGTGTTACCCTCCCGAGGTGACAGGGAGGGGCCCCAATCGCCTGAGGGAAGGTGGACGGGGAAGAGTCTACCCAGAAGGATGTGGCAGCAGTTGCTGCGGGAAAGTTTCTTGGACGAGCCGGAGGCGGAGGACGGACCCGAGAATTAAGTGAGGTGCAGCTGATGGATGAGCAGCAGGGACGGGTGGAGGGTTCGAGGAATGACAGAGGGACAGGGAAGTGGGGGGGAAGTCCATCGGGAGGATCGCGGGGTAGATAGTGTGTGAGTGAGAGTCACGCAAACGGACTGGGTGCTTGGACCCGATGAGGTTTTATCACCTGGCAGAGACCTGGGAAGAATTCATGGTTGCTGTGGGGGAGAAGGCAAGCAGGGAGGGGGTGTATGGGGAAGCTCATTGGGGAGGGCAAGAGGGTTGGTGAAGTTAGGAAAAATTAAAAAAAAAAAAAAAATGGTACGGGTACTTGAAAGGGAATTGAGTAAGACACAGCGGCTAGGGGTAAGCCGCCTTTTCGGGGAAGTTCAAGTGTGCACATAAATGTAAATGGTCTTAATCTAAAGGTAAAAAGGTTGGTAGATGGTTTTTACGAAGATTGATGTAGATGTATGTTTTTTGCGGAAATAACCATAGGTGGGTGTGGAATTGGTTTGCGGGGTTACCATTTGTCATTGATGCTTTGCAATAAAAGGAGGGTGGCAGTGGCTATAAGGAGACAGCCAATGCGTGTCAGGGTTGGGAGGAGGGGGAGGGGGGGGTCGTGAGGGTAGATGGCACTGGGGGGGGGGAGAGTATGTTTCTTTGGTGTTTATATGCCGGCATGCAACAATGTTAGAGTCAAAGTTGATTTTGTTCGTGATGTTTAAATGTATTATTTGCGGGGTTTACCTTCCATACTGTACTTGGGGTGATTGGAACTGTGTGATTAGGTATGGGGATGTCTCACCGAGGGGGACGGGATGTATTAAGGGATGTAGGAGTTGTAGATGTGGGGGGGAGGGGGGAGTATGGGGTGGAGCACACGTTCATTCGGGGGAATTAGGGGGCGAGGTTAGATGGGATATATTTTGATGCAGGGGATAGGTGTGGAGAGGGTGAGGGCTTTTGATGTCGGTTTTTCGGATCACAGGGCGGTGATAGCTGATTGCGGGTGGATGGTATAGTACGCATATATGCTGGGTATTGGAATTGAATGTGAGGCTTCTGCAGGATGGGGATGATGGCTCTTCCTTTGGGGAATGGTGGAGACATTTTGGGATGGTAGGGATGGTGAGATGGATTTCCCTTGACTGGGGGGAGATGCGGGCTAAGACAGCAATCGCAGAGTTCTTCAGGATACGTGGAAGGGAACAGGCAAGGTGGAGTTTAGGGTTTTGGCAAACTACCTGGGGGGTCAGCTGAATGATGTTTACGACGGGGGGGGGAGGTATGCGAGGGGATGTGGATGGTTTAAGGAGTAGGATTGAAGAGTTACATAATAAAAGGGTTTAACGCGATTAGAGTTAGGGCAGGGTTAGAGGAGGTTTTTAAAGGGGTGATCGACCATCACGTTATGTCCGAAAAAATTTAGAAAAAGGCAGATGGTGACTACCATAGCATATCTAGTGGTCGTGATGGGGGGGGGGTTATGTGGTGGGTCAAGGTCTTACCGATACGGTTTGACATTAGCATTTATGCAGATTATTGTTTAGGGAGAAATGGGGAGGAACAAGGAAGTTACCAGTGAGGAGGTATTTGGGGTTATGCAGAATACAATTGTATTGGGGACAACAGGAAACAGGAAATGCTGAAGGGTAGTATTAGTGAGGAGGAGGTGGGGGAGGCAGTTTACGGGATTGAGTCGGGGTAAGACGCCGGGCATGGATGGAATACCGAATGATTTTTATAGAGTTTATTGGGAATGCATTAGGTTTTGGGTTAGTGGAAGTCTTGAATCATATGTGGAGCAGTGGGAGGATGGGGAAGACACAGAAAACAGGGATCGTTGTGTTAGTGCCGAAGAAGAAGGAGGGGAAAAGTATTGGTGATTATAGAGCAATATCCTTAATGTGTGCAGATTATAAAATTTATGCTAAAATTTGGGCAATAGACTGAAAAAGGTTCTAGGATCAGTGGTACATGGGGACAGTTTGGCATCCCGGGAAGAAGTATGAGGGACGGCATAGTCACAAAGGGATTTTATTGAGAGCTGCACCGGAGGGGGAATACTTGGTTTAGATTGGGCTAATGCGTATTTTGTGTGAATAGGAATTTCTTAAAAGTTTGTTTGGAAAATTTGGGGTTTGGGGGAGAAGGTGGTGAGATGGGTGCAAACCTTTATGAGGGAGCGGTTATTAGGGTACAGGTTAATGGTAAGTTGGGGGACCCAGTACTGATTGAGAGAGGTTTGAGGCAGGGTTGTCCACTCTCTCAGTTTTGTTTGCCTGCGTACAGAATCCATTTTATGGGCGGTGAAGAGTAAATAAATGGACAGGGATAAGGGGGGGGTGGGCAGGGGGGTATTGTTGGGTATGTAGATGATACTACAGTTCGGTAATGCATGAGGAAGATCTAAGGAAAGTTGGTGGAGTCATTCAGATATTTGGGACGCTACGGGTATGAGAGTTAAATTTAATGAAGTCGAGACTATTAGAGGTGGGGGATTGGATAGGCGGGAGCTTGGGGGGGGTTGGATGGTCAGTAGTGGACGAATTGGTTTGTGGAGTATGGTACATGGCGGAAGTGCAGGATAGTGGGAAGAAAAAATTCGGAATTAGTTACGAGCAGGGTTTTGGGTAGGCTTGGAGGCTTAAGGGCTAGGGACGAAACTTACAGCAGAGAGTTTAGTGGTCAACTCTCTGGTTTACAGTAAGGTGTGGGGAGTGGCTGAGGTGTTCCCTTTAAGAGCACAGGATATTGCAGAAATCCAGAGGAAGGTTCTAAGGTATGTGTGGGGGTTTGGGAGGGCATGGTTGCGCAAGGACGTGGTGATGACGGATGTGTACGGGGGGGGTCTTGGCCTGATGACATTGGGTCATAGAGTAATGGCTTTATATTTTAAACAAGATATATCCGGACTGGGGGAACCGGGGAGTCAGGGTAGGTAGGGAATGGGGGGATGCACGAAGATGGTGGTGTGGAAGGGATTTGAGGTATTGTAAGACATGTTGAGGTTTTATTAAATGTAAACAGGTGTCTAAATTAAAGGTCAAACGGATGGGGGTGCTGTGGTGGGTACGGGTGTCTTAAAAGGGGCTTGCTGTATATCCAACATATGACGGGATGAGCATATGGAGGAAGTTTGGCTTGCTTAAATACCAGCGAGGGTACGGGAGTTAGTATATCGTTTTCTAATGGGAATTTTGGCCTCTAGGGATGTGTTGTGTGAAATGGGTCTTGTAAGAGAGGACTCATGCTTGCACTGTGGGGACACCGAAACGGCTTTTCATGCGGTATTTTTTTCTCTCTTTGGAGGGGGTGAGGTTATGGATGGTGAGCGTTATCAGACTTTTTTTGGGGGGGAGGGGGGAAATGGCCATTCCTAAGGGCTTTAATGTTGGATGTAACTGGGGTGCCGGGTGATGTAGGGAGGGCTTTAGTATATGTCATGAGGATTATTTACATGTATCTTGGGGGATGGGGAGGTTCGGGGAGAGTTGAGATAAAAGCGTTAGCAGCGAGATTTATAGAACGATGTGTAGGAATTAGGGAATCTATGGGGGGCGGTGGGTAATTTGCTTTTCGGAGGGTTACCGGA